GGTGGGCAGGGGCTATTACTGTTTAACAGCGTGATTAATCGTGATTCATTTTTTTAATGGCTTGACAGACCTACTTTCCACTGACCATTTCGTTCCATGTCTTCCTTCTGTTGGAAGCTGAAGCAATTTAATATTTCACTTTTCCCCCGAGCCAAGAATGCCAGGCTCTTGCACACGCTGCTCATGCAGGTGAAAAGGCGCAACCATCCCTGCAGGCCACACTCCCTGGAACACGACGTGCCGAAGAAAGCCAGCTGGGCCAGGATTTACGGATGGCTCTGCACCAGGGGAGAGCCCAGTAGTGGTGTTCAGAGACACCTATTCTCCCTTCACATTTGTCACTGTCTCTCCCACACAGGCAGCCACCGAAAGGTTTCAGCACTTGTTCGAGCGCAGAGGTGAGCGTGTAACAGCGTCAATGTCAGCACTTGCTTTGGAGGCAAAGCTCATTTGTCTGGAAAACTGCAGCTGAGGAAACCTGCAAACATGGGTTACAGCTTTTATTTTTAAGCCGCTCCATTATTTATGCCACCCTCCAAGAGTTTCGAGGTGGCCTAACATGCATCATCATCCAGCTATTAAGTCATGTAAATCGCTCTTAGGAAGATCTGCATCTCCCAGAGCCACACAATATTCAAAGCTTTATGTCACAGTGCCCTGCATGGAACATGACAGGGAAGGGAAGGGTGTGAGGGTGGGGCCCCCCATCTGCTACCAACACTGATTAACCGCTCCATCACAGTTGGTGCTGCAGTGTAGCAAAAGATCATCTCGCTAGGCAGCCTGCCCTACGGTGTCTGCTTGCTGTGGCCAGAGCTGGCCTACATTGCAACCCAAGGGGCGACTGCAGCTTGGGTAGATGTACCTGCGGTAGATTTAATCTAGCTACCGCCATAAAAAAGGCACTGGAGGTGGGGTGGCGTGGAGATGGCATGGGCTGTAGAAGCTTCCCTGGAATCCAGCATGATTCTGGCAAACTAAGTGCCAGCTTATGCCAAGGTGCCCATACGTCATTTGCATACTGGCAAACAAATAGCTGGAATCGGTCTGGCTCTCCTGTGTGTCAGTATTTTTATCACAGGTATCAGAGCTACAAAAATGTGCTTTGTGTTTTAACTTTACTGAATGCTCGTAAATTGCTGCAGGCCTTAATCTCACAACCTCGGTGTCCCATCCTGTAAGCTTTGCATTGAAAGGCCACGTCTACACGGGCAGATGTAAAAGTGCTAGTAGTTACAGCACTGCTCACAGAGCACTGCAGGGAAATTGCTGTTGTATGTCCGCACTGTGCTCCTTGTGATGGGGGAGTGTGTCCACATTAGCAGTTCTTACAACAGCCCACAGAGCAGTGCATTGTTGCAGCTATCCCACTGTGCAACTAGCTGCCGGATGCTTTGGGAAGGGTTTGTAACACCACATGGGGCAGTGAGCATCACACGATACAGGTTTCCCAATCCCAACACTCCATGGTCATCCTGCTACTTTTTGACAACCGCTTTTCAACAGAAGTCGGGGGAAGAGAGTGAGTGTGAGTGGGAGTGTATATATATATATATGTGTGTGTGTGTGTGTGTGTGTGTGTGTGTGTGTATGCTGGGTGGAGGGAGACAGTGGGTTTTGAGGGATGTCAGCATGCTGTCTTGTAAGTTCACACAGCAACAGGAAACAACCCTTCCTCTGGCAGGGGGAGGGGAAAACCCTGACATCTCAGCTCCCTCTGTCTCCCTTCCTGGCTCTTTGCACAGCAATCTCGCTCTCTCTGTGTTCAACAGCACAAGCATTTCATTGGAATGGTTTGCTCTGTGTCTTGGAGAAAGTCAGCACAGCATGCGGGCAGTCAGGAATGGAGCTCTGAAACGGGATAGGCACATGCCTGCAGAGCAGACAGATGAGTTGCAAAGAGCAGAAGGGACTTGAGGGACTATGGGCCATTTCTGGAGGCCAGTCACAATGCAGAAACAATTCAAGTGTCCATACTCTCCCTCTCCTCCCTGCTGGCAGTGTATCCAGGGCAGAGCAAGCTCTATGCTTCTCCTCGAGGTGGTTTACCTAGAGTGCAGCAACTGCAGGGTTAGTGCACACTAAGGGCATGTCTACACTGGGGAGTTATTTTGAAATAATTCACGTTATATTAAAACAACAAGGTGAGTAGCCACACTAGCAAGTCTGTTATTTCAAAATAAGGGGCTTGATATTTCAAAATACTAACTCCTGCTTGTAAAGAGGAATAGACTTATTTCAAAATAATTATTTCTGGAGTTATTATTTTGAAATAACCTGGTAGTGTAGACATAGCCTCAGTGTCTTGCCAGTCTGGACACCACAGAAGTTACAGCACTGGGAGCTAATTTACTGCACAGTAACTTGCCAGTGAAGACTTGGCCTAAGTCTGTATAACTATGCACATCATCAGAGAGGAAAGAGACATCAGTCAGTGTGAAGTACTAGTCTCCACCAGGAGGTGTTATCTTCCTCATAACAAAGGACGGCCCATCAACACCAGATGAACTTTTGGAGAACATCAGAAGACAAAAGACTCTCCACTCTCCCAGGAAGAGAAAACATGCAAGTGAATTTTTCCCAACAGCTGAATTAGCAACTGGAAGCAGAAGGGGTGAAGGAATAATAAGACCTAAGAAAAGGAACTTTATCTTTTATGCTGCTTGGACTCTGATGGGTAAGGTAAGATTAAGCAGAAGACACACACAAACACATAGCCTGGTTTAGCTCTAAAGGACACCTAGAACTTGCTTATCCTCATTTGTGAAAATGTATGTTTACCAGCCTTACCCTGGTAAATAACTTTCATTTCCTTTTCCTAGTTAATAAATCTAGATAAATTGCTAACTTTCATTTCCTTTTCCTAGTTAATAAATCTTTAGATAAATTGCTACAGGGCTGGCTACAAATATTGTCTTTAGTATGAGATCTAAGATTAAATTGACCTGAGGTAAGTGACAGGTCCTTGGGACTGGGAGTAACTTGAATATTATTGTAACTGTTGGTGTAAGGGACCACAAAGGCAAGCTTGCCTAGATAAGACAGACCAGAGCACCCAAGAGCACCGTCAGTGACTCCATGGTTAAGCTGTTACAGAACCTGAGAAGTTCACACCCGATGTTTAGTTGGTGAAATCTAAGTAGGGAACTCACAGACAATGAACCTGAGAAGTTCACACCCGATGTTTAGTTGGTTAAATCTAAGTAGAGAACTCACAGACAACATGTACCATGAGGCTGGTGTTGAGCTACTGCAAGGCAGCTTGACCCCTGGGTACACAGTCGCATAGCTAAGTCAGTGTCATCATATCTACACTACTACGTTTATCACTGCTAGTTCAGGTATGACTCCCTGAGCTCCAACCACAGTTTGGATTGATCTGTGAAGCAGATGAACCCCAAAGGTGGGACTGATTCATGAAAACACTTCCTGCCCAACAGAGTTCAAAGGGCAGGTGAGGATCTAATACTTAGTACAAAAGAACCAGGAATCCAAGACGCTGCATGGAGAACCTGGTGCCTGCACAAAACAGAACTGGATTATGGGAAAGATTTCTGGGAGAAGGAGCCATGCCCTAAAATGATTTGTGTAAGAGTCTTTTGTTCCACCTTCACATCTCATTTTAGCCAGCTTCCCTGGCAATATAACCCTGAAAAGAAACCGAGGCCAGCAAGCGCCTATGATTACACAAGGGGCACGCATTCAACGCAGCATGGAGAACTGACTTGTCACACAAAAGCTGCCTGCACATACCACTCGGGAGAAGAATCAGAAAGACAGGGCTGGAAACTCACCATTGCTGCACTTCCTTCTCTGTAACTGAAAGAGAAAACAAGAAAGACAAGAGTTAAGCCATTTGGAGTCTTCCTCTTTGATTTTTTTTTTTTTTCATTTTAAGCTGACTGGTTTCTATAGCATAGGAGACTTGATTGCAGGGCATAAGGACTTTTTTGGGGAGATTGCTAAAGGGCTCTTTAATCGACTGTAGAAAGTCATCCCAAGAACCAATGGCTGGATTAAGGATATTCAATACTGAGTAATTTACTAGTTGAGTAGTTGATGGAATTTCCATTGATTACTTGACTATCAATAGGCACTTCTGCATTCCTCCTTTGAAATGTAGAAGAGCCCCAGCTGGGGCTGTTCTACATTTCAAAGGAGGAATGCAGAATGCCACATGCAGCCCCCACAGGGCCAGCGGGAAGTCCCACTGACTCTGGGCTGCACATGGGTGCCAGCTTTGAAATGTACAAGAGTCCCCCACTAACCCCAGGCTTCATGCTGCGCTACCGCTTTGAAATGCCACGCAGAGTCCGGAACTCCCTAGCTGATCCTGGGCTCTGTGCGGCATTTCCCCAGAACCTGGGATGAGCTGGGGACTCCTCCGCTGACCCAGGACTCCACACGGCATTTCCCCAGAACCCAGGATCAGATAGAGACTCCCCAGCTGACCCTGGGCTCCATGCAAACGCCGTGGTGGCGTTTCAAAGGGGCAGCGCTGCACAGCTGAGCCTGAGATCAGCTGTGCAGCACTGCTCCTTTGAAACACTGAAGTACCCCATTTCCCCCCCCATCTGATAAGAGGCAGCAAGGGGGGTGGGGAAATCAACTAGTTGACCCGACTATCCGATAAGCGTTTGCTTATTGGATAGTTGACTAGTGGACTAGCCCTTAACATCCTTAGACTGGATGTTAATGCCAGACAACCTCAAGTTCAATAAGGCACACATTTTTAGCAGGCAGGGTGGTTAACAACTGAAACAAGTGAGGGATTCTCCAGTTCTGACTAGGCATGTTTCTGCAAGATGCTTTAGCCAACCAGAAGGTGGTGTGCTCCAACCAGTGGGAACGGCATGGAAGTCAGTGGCCAGTGATGTATAGGTCATCAGACTAGATCAGTGGTCTCCAACCTTTTTACACCCAAGATCACTTTTTAAATCTCCGAACAGGCAAAGATCTACCGCACCGCCCCTTCCTTGAAGCCCTGCCCCTTCCTTGAAGCCCTCTCTATTCTCCTCCTGTCCATCATTTGCTATCCCCAGCCCTTACTTACACACTCTCATAAACAGTTTATTTTTAAATTATGCGATGTATAAAATTAAAATCACGTGTTTATAGTTATGAAATAAATGGTCTGTTTTTTATTCATGCTATTTAAATCTAAAATGAAGCATTTATAATTATACATTTTGTGGGGACAGAGTTCTGTGGCTTGTTTTTAACTGTTCTGTGCCCTGGTGGCCATTCCACCCATAGTTATCACAGCTTATATGCGAGATAGTGTCCATTCGGTGTGAATGCTATCTGTCGAAAAAACAGATTGCTTTTTCGATGCGTTTTGGCAGTGTGGACGCACTCTTTCGGAAGAAGTTTTTTCAGAAGATCTCTTCCAGGAAAGCTTCTTCTGAAAGAAGCCTGCAGTCTAGACATAGCCTTTGTGGTACAGCTGTCCCTTACTGGATACTCTATAAGGGTATGTCTACACTACAGCGCTAGTTCGAACTAACTTAGTTCGAATTAGTTAATTCGAACTAAGCTAGTTCCAACTAACGCGTCTAGAACTAAAAACTAGTTCGAACTAGCGTTTTGCTAGTTCGAACTAGCAAGTCCACATTGAGTGGACTCTGAACAGGGCTTAAGGATGGCCGGAAGCAGTGCCGGCAGGGCATAAAAGGAGGACTTAGAGCATGGAGATGCTGTCTCAGGCTAGCCGAGGGCTGCGCTTAAAGGGTCCCGACCCCCACCCCGGGTAAATGGGGGCGGGGCGGACAGGATGCCTCGCAATTGACTGGTCGAGGCCTCGCGATCAACCAGTTGATCGCGATCGACCTGTTGGTGACCACGGGTCTAGATGATTTAATGGCCGCTTCTGACAATGAAATCTTAGAATCCCTGAGTATTTCTGCTACCTTTAAGGAGGCTTATTGCATCATGTCAGTTAGCAAAACTTTATAGGCCTGATCCTCAGCTGATGCAAACAAGCCATCCCATTGGTGCAGCACCGATTTACGTCAGCCAAGGCTTTCACCCTATTTCTCCTCCTCTAGCAGCAAAAGGTGAAGGCTGATGTAGAGGAAGGCGAGTAAACAATGAGGAATTTCTGTCCAGTGCATTGTTTGTCATGACACAGCAAGTTAAAACTACCTGCTTCTCCTTGAATCTCAACACATCAAACACACACACCTACAGAGCCTCCGAGCTCTTTCAGCACCATCCCTTCTGCCAACACGAGCTGTCTGTTTGCGCCAGGCTCCTTCATACCTGTTGTCTTAGATGCCGTAGTCACATTTCTTCCCTGCTGACTAGCTAAATCTTCAAAGAAAGTGCTCACTGATGGTTTTGAGATCTTTTGATGTGTTTGCTTGTCATACCTCTTTGCGTATTAATCTGAAGCTTCAGAACTCCCTCCCTCTGGGTTTTGATGAATAAGCTTCACGCGGCGCGTGTGAAGATTTCATTCCTTGTCTTGCCTGCCTCCCCCCGATCCTATTTTTATTTCTTGATTGTCATGCGGTCCTTTTTAGCTGTGCACAGCACTCTGCAGCTCTCTCACTGCAGGTAAAAACACGTACGCCATACGGGTTCTACCACAGCGTAGGGGCAGAGGGGAAGGAGGGGTTCATGGACAGAAGGGTTCTAGGAGGTTGTACCCCTATGTTTGCCTATGTGAAACAGGATGGAATTTATTCTCTTCCCTTAATTACCAGACTGTGTGATGGCTAACGCACTAATGCCTGTAAAGTGCAATGAGTTCTTTGGACTGAAGAAGTTTGGGTTCAAGGACAGTGTTCCCTGTAAGATTAGCAGAGCACCCCAGCAAGGATTCTCTTTCTACTGGTGGTGCCCATTTGCACATGCCTCAGTGCACATAAACATGTATTCCACGTGTTGTTGGAAAAGGTTAAAGGGAACCCTGGTCAAGGGTCATCATGCCGGGCCTGTGCGCTCTCAGAAAAAGACGACAAGACCTGCCCTTTGTGCAATTTATATAAAACATTCATGGCATCAACATTCAAATTCCAATAGGAAACGACCCCCCTCCCTCATGCTGCATTTGCCAGGCACTGGAGAGCACTGCAGTCTGGAAAAGATGTCCAGAGCTGGGATGATTTGAAGGATCGGTCTATAAAAGTCAAGGACGCGGGCTGATATTCTGAAGTTGTTTCTCTGCAAACAGTCCCATGGCTGAAAGCTTCTGTGTAACATCAACATTCAAATTCCAATAGGAAACGACCCCCCTCCCTCATGCTGCATTTGCCAGGCACTGGAGAGCACTGCAGTCTGGAAAAGATGTCCAGAGCTGGGATGATTTGAAGGATCGGTCTATAAAAGTCAAGGACGCGGGCTGATATTCTGAAGTTGTTTCTCTGCAAACAGTCCCATGGCTGAAAGCTTCTGTGTAACGGTGGAACCCGCGAAGGGCTGGCACCAGGGACGACAAGAGTTGTCAACCGTAATGACTGTACTAGAAGCCAGCAATCGCCAATGAGAAGGAAGATGCTGGAGTTGGGAATTGTTTCTCTCCATCTTTCCTCAAGCAAGGCTGAGAGTGTGGAGAATAGAAAGTCACCAAGCAGAAGACAGATACCAACAGCAGACTTTAAACCCCAAGGAGACTAGGGCCTTGTCTATACTTACTCAGAGATCGATGATCCAGAGATCGATCTTCCAGGGTCTGATTTAGAGTCACGAGTTTCTCCCATCGACCTCCCGCAGCGGGGAAGCTGCAGAAATTTGACTTAAGGTGGGTCGACTCCTGCTACACTATTCACATAGCTGGAGTTGCGCATCTGAAGTCAACTCTCTCCGGGTATGTCTACACTACCCCCCTAGTTCGAACTAGGGGGGGTAATGTAGTCATACGGAGTTGCAAATGAAGCCTGGGATTTGAATTTCCCGGGCTTCATTTGCATAAAGCCGGCCGGCGCCATTTTTAAATGCCGGCTAGGTCGGACCCCGTGCCGCACGGCTACACGCGGCACGGACTAGCTAGTTCAGATTAGGCTTCCTAGCTGTAGCTGGAACGAGGCATACAGCTAGTTCAGATTAGGAAGCCTAATCCGAATTAGCTAGTCCGTGCCGCGTGTAGCCGCGCGGCACGGGGTCCGACCTAGCCGGCATTTAAAAATGGCGCCGGCCGGCTTTATGCAAATGAAGCCCGGGAAATTCAAATCCCAGGCTTCATTTGCAACTCCGTATGACTACATTACCCCCCCTAGTTCGAACTAGGGGGGTAGTGTAGACATACCCTCCCTGCCCAGTGTAAACCTGGCCTAGATGGGTTGGGGGAAAAGTCACAGAGACATATAGGAAGTCCAGGCAGAAGAAGGGAAAGCATGGATTGGCCCAGGTCAGTGGAGACAAGATTCCACGTCTCAGAACCCTAGACATGCCACAGGCAGACCTGGATGGCCCAGGATCACCCTGCCCCTTACCCACAGAATGCACTGGAGGGGGGAGGGTTAATTTTTGTATAGATCTGCATGTTTCTTGTGCTCTTAAAGAAAGGGCACTGCAGGGATCTAGTCCTGTGCCAAGTCAGCATGTGTTCAACTGAAACCCACCCTGCCCACACCATTGGCTGGAGTTCAGGGAGAGGGTGGGTTTAAGCTACGGGGGAACATGAGGAACCAGCACTGTAGTTCCAGGGCCTGAGCAGCGGCTGCATGGGCTGAGCTCTCAAGCAGGGGTGCCAGAACTGACCTTCCGTCAGTGGGCCCAGAGGTGCTAAAGCAGGGCCCAGGCACTGTCTGTTCTGACTCTGGAGGCTCACAGCATATAGGATCCAGCACCGGGGTCTTCATGCCCCTCCCCATAAG